ATTACAGCAATTCCAAAACCTAGATATTTTTTCTTATTTTCCTCCAATTTTTGCATCTATGCCAACAATAACTTTATTTGAAATGCTGCAATTAACTAATCAAAAATTCAGTTCATCAATGTTAAGGACTGTTCCATTTTGCCACTATCTCGTTACGTCTGCTCCAACATTCAATATGCTATTCACAGGCAAGTCGTCGAACCAGTTTCAAAAAAATCGTTATGGGCTAACCTTACATGTGATTGGACATATGATCGAAACGGATCAATGATTCAAAAAAGGTCTGGAAAGTAGCGTGAAGATTGGAGTTCCCCCAGAAAATCGCCCTCAAACGTGGATAGCCTAGCCTAGAAACGTGAAGTGTTTCATAGGGCCAAAATGTATTAGCGCACTGATCTTTAGTGTTTTACAGAAAATACTATAGCTACCATAAAAAGATATAATTACGTTCGCGAATTTTTTTAACCTCGATTAAAAGCAACCTATATTAGGTATTGAAAATGGTTTTTTTTTTGCGAGAAACGCCCATTTCCTCTCTCAGTAATCCAAGCAAAGTAAAGTATTGTGGAACATAAAAAACGAAGGGTACAGCGCTTGGACAAACAGTCAAGAAAAAAATGACACTAAAAATGTGCGACAAAAAGCACAGGAACTTATGTGACTGATATATAGTGCCTAAGTTGTAAACAATCCGTTGTGTAATGATAAGCACAGAGAAAATTAGATCGTCATTCACATGAGATATCAGCTATCGAAAACTGACATCCCTAGGCACTACCATTCATACTCAACTGACTTGGAGAGTGGTGCATCTCTCACCGGTATGTTCTCATCGCCTAGAGTAGACTTACATCCATTTGTTGCAGGTACTAACTAAGCATGCTTCTAATGTTCGTAATACTATGGGTCATAATGCTTACCTTAAACGTTATAATAAACTGTCAAAAAGTTTTATTAAGCTGCAGTAAGTGAAACATGCATGTATTTTTCTTTTTCAATCTTGTAAATCCACACTGACAGGGAAATTGAAGTCTCGAA